GAAAATTCCTCGCGAATAATAGCTATCATTATTGACCCGTGGTATAATCTACTATTTGCTATCAATTCATATTATCATATCATTGTTAAGTTTTTACTTGATAAATCTTATCTTATCTATTCTTGAAATATAAATATTATATTTTAATTTTTTTATTTAATTGTAGGCTTCCATTTTGTGTGAGTGCTGATTGGTAGTGCCATGTTTTTCTGAGGTAAGTCAATTCAGATTTTTGGACTTTAAATAGGTAGGTACTGCTGCTCTCGTTTTCAGAATCAATTGTTAGAGTGGGAATATTAGACCATTTGCAATAAATAGAGTCGGTGAAAACCAAATTTGTGTGTCCATCCCTATCAACTCTTTATTGAATCCAGGCAGAGGCCTGAATAGCCATTTTCTGTTTGACTCCATCAATTATTATCTCGACTAAAGGGTGTAATTTTTTTTAATAAAAATCCAGACAGGTAAAAAATTCAGTAAAAAAGTTTTAATTAAAACATCTCAAGAATTTTGACATATTCTGGATTTGATTGATTTCACCTTCAGGTTTATCTTGTAGTATCTATACTAGCTACCGTAATTTGAAAAGAAAATTTCGTCTATTTGGGGGAGAATCCAAAGATTTAATTTCTTATTGTTTCGCCTTATTTTGTTCATATTTTTGCCTGCCAGAGCTTCTATCAGGAAAGCAGCATTTTGCTCAATCATAACGAGCATTTTAATTTAATCTTGTTAATATTTTAATTTTATTATTATCTTACCATTATTCTTGATTATTTAATTGTATTTTTTTTATATTAAAATATATTTTTTTTTTTGTCAACTTGCAATAGCTTTTGGAAGGGAGTGTCTGTACCGTCTGTACAACAATCGTTTTATATTAAATTTCAATTTAAATTTTCTTTGCAAGACACTCACTTTTTGACAGAATTCAGGGATTTATATTCCAAATATTGGTGAACCTGATACTGCCTTATTCTTTTCTGGGTACCTACTCCACATAAAGATCACTGTTTGGAGTCTGGAGTCTGGATCAGCTGGAGTGACGTCACCCCTGCAATCTATCCTCTTCCTGGATACAGGAAACAACACAAAGAGCTCCAATTCACGAAAGTGAAACCTCAATACCAATTGAAGAACTCCGGATTGGAAAGGTACATTGTATCAGATTCACCGGAAAAACCAAGCTGTCAACTGTCATGTTTCAAAGAAAGTGGCATTGTCACTATATCAACTTGTTAAATATCAATAGTTATTTATTGTATAAGTGTTTTAGGAAGCATTTTATTCACGCAAGAATGTTTAAACGCGAGAACGAAGTTCGAGCGTTTCATTTTCCTAAGTGGATAAAATGCAACTAAAACACGAATGTAATACAACGTTTTATCCACAATCACACGTACATACACATGGCGGATGGAAGAGCTCCTCTGTTGCTGAAAGATATATCGAGGATTCCATTTCCAATAAGCTTAGTATTGCAAACAAAATTCAAGGGGAAAATGTCCCTTACAAGAGGAGCCACAAAACACCCATAAACGTGCGTTCCCAAGCTGATGGAAATTATCACCTTTTTACCAACAATACAAACCGTATTCCTTGATTTCATTATTCCACTAGTGGAATAAAGTATCACTTTAGACGCTTCATATGAGTGGATAAAACTGCCATTATTTGATGATTGTGGATAAATGATATAACAAAACCTGAAACAGGGACCTGCTTAGATCACATCTTTGTTAGTAAGGACACAAATCTCACTTTAATGCCGGTGATTTTGCAGGGTCGCATCACTGACCATTAGCCTATTCTATTAAAAATCAGTAACCTATCAACGAAGCTAAATTAAAAGAGCCAGACTATAGGAAGCAGCACAACAAAAACATAAATTGACCATGACAAACTTAACGATAACCTCAAATCGATTAACTGGAAAGATTTTTATAGATGTGAGGATATTGATGAATGCATGAATTTTTTTTTATAAAAACATAAATAACTGCATTTTTAAAAATACGCTATTCAGAATCCAAGCGAACTCCCTGGATGGAAAATGGATTCCTAGTATCCGTAAACAAGAAACATGAGCTGTATCAAAAATACAAAAATAATGGATATAATGAAAACTTTCTTAGAGAATACAAAAGATACAGAAGCATGACAAATGGACAAATCAGCTGATAAAAGAAACAAAAGTAAACTACTATGAAAGTCAAATTGAAATAAATAAAGACTGACCAAAGAATCTGTGGATAAATGTAGAGATACCGAAATAAAGCTATTAAAAACCGAAGAAGCGAAATACCTCACAAAACATACAGACAAAGCAAATTATTTTAATAAATTCTTTAGTGAAATAGGTCCTAAACTAGCATCAAAAATAAAACAGCCAAAAAGGCAACTTCATCGGAAAATTATCAATGAGCAATTATCGCTTGACGTCACAAACAAACAGGAACTATGAACAGGACTTGACAGAATTGGCGAGAGACTTGAAAACAAATAAAGCTCCTGGTTTGGATAATATACAAACACATTTCATAAAACGTTATAATAGATTGATTCTTGATCCTTTAGTGCATATTTGTAACTTATCGATGAAGCATGGGTTATAAACCATTAAAAATAGCTAAAGGTAAACCTCTATTCAAGTCAGGCAACATGTGCAACGCTAATAACTACAGGCTTATATTCATTCTTTCTGGCTTCTCCAAACTACTGAAAAAGGCTTTCGATACTGTGGATCACCAAGTTCTAGTGAAAACTTTGAATCAGCTGGGATCTAGAGGTAAAATTTTAAAGCTTATTGAGAGTTTTATTCTTGATAGAGAACAGTGTGTTGAGATAGGTACAGAATTGAGCCCCTTCACTAAAGTACAATGTGGCGTTCCCCAGTGCACTCTTCTCTTTATAGTTTTTCTTAACAACATTTTTGAAATCGATACTATTGGAGAGGTTCTTTGTTTTGCGGACGACGGGGTCTTTTTTTAAACATTTGAAAACTGGGAGGATCTGAAAGTCATATGCAGAATTGTTATATTTACTGAAAAAACTATCTAATTCCTAGGAAAAGTTTATTAACTGAACAACACAAGTTTTTGTCCAGGGTCCTTATTCTCAAAACAATGAAACAGCGTTCTCGAAAAGAACAAAGGTTCTGTTCTCGGCGCCCATATTCATATCTACTTAACACTGACAAAAACAGCGATCGTTTTCATGAGAACCCAGTTTCGAAAATAGATGTCCCTGGCTTGGTTGTAATTTTAACGGTGATTGCACAAATCTTGTACAAAACCTAGGATTCATCTATCACTTCGTAAACCAATTATTTGTGGTCTTAGTGTTATCAACATAAGATGAAAATAACCCTTCAATAAGGAGAATTTTTGTTTGAATAGACTCCAGAAATAGTATTAGCTATTGAATCTTCAACGGTATAAAGAAAGTAGAAAAAATTATGGGGAAACAAACTTTAAAAAAACGCGAAATTTTCGAAAAATATACTGATACTATAAGGTTCAGACCTGCCAGAAGGTTTCTTATTCATATTCTGATCAAGATATCATAGGTACTTGAAATACATTTAGCCAATGCCCAAAAAGTTACTTCCAACTCATATTAGCATTATGAAAATAAAAGTGATTGCTCGGAATTAAGGATTTTGGAAAGACCAGAGATTCTGATTTGAATAATATTGACATCCTGTTGAATCGCAAATTCATAAATATGGGAATAATTAAAAATCATTTCTGGTGATGGTACTTTTATATTGTGAGCAATGAAGCAAAACATCTTCAAATCCAAAGGATTTCAGGAATTTTTGGCCCAAAATCGTTTTCTTTAAAGCTGGACTGGAAACGTATGACTGACGAACCGAAATCTCTTTACGGAAAATCACATGACTCCCTCCTACGATGTCGTGTTACAACAGAGAAGCGTGGACAACATTTTATATGGGTGAACCTTTTGTTTCGAACAATAAATTGAACATGTCATCATAAAAACTTATATTCTGAATTAGGATTTTAATTATATAAATCAAGGGATAGAGATTTAGACTTGAAACTTTAGTGGTTAAAGATTGAGCAAATTACAACGATCACTGAAGAACAAACAGATGCAAAAAAAAAAAAACAAGTTTCAAAAAACCTCAAGTCACTTATTATCAAGCAAATTTACATTTCAATATTCTGCATCTTTACAAGAGAATAGACAAAAATAATTGTGGGTCCCTTATTCAACATGGGAAAATACACTATTCTCAACTGATTTAAATTCACTAGAATATAGAATATCCAGAAACAATAACCAATGATTGCCTCATCAACATACAAGCATTAAAAAGTCCATTTCCCAATAGTTTCAAAGGAATAAAATAAATTGGAACCATATGGCATTTCCAAAAAAAAAAAATAGTTCAGCTAAACCTAATCACCGAAACGTTTGTCTAGAAAAAGAAAACCCATATTTGAATTTGTGGTTTATTCTTCCTTCATATTATGCGGAAACTCTGTAGTCCAAATGAGTTGTCATGATTTCTAGTTACTAGAAATCGTACTGAATTAGTGACCTATCTACCCAATTTTAGAATTTTAATTATTCTTTCGTAGTCGTTTTTGTGCCCACATAGTAAAATATAGACGCTGATATATTTGAGTATTCAATTAGGAGTAAATTAATCAAACTGAAAGGTTTTCCTTTGTTGAACAGCAGCTCGGTATAGAAGCTGTTTATCTCAAAAATATAATTACAGAAAAATCAAACTTTCCTATTTTATATGAGTCTTGTAATTAACAAAAGCGAACATTAATCTAAGTAAGTATATTTTTATTTGTGAACGAGGTTCCGCCTTCTAAATTCTACTCCAATCAACTCAATTATTGTTTTCATTTGATATAACCCTATATTCAATTAAGTACTTACCTTTCACTTATTAGGCCATAAACAATATTTGTCTACCTATTGGTTAAATCAAGTCTTAAACTAATCCAAGTACTTACCCAAAGGAATTTTTTCACTAATACTACATTGACCGACTTTTGAATTGAGCAAAAACACCAAGAGAATCCCGAAAAATAGGGATTTCCTCCCCATTTTTGCAGTGCAAGGGATGCTGCAGAATACAGAGTATGGACGCTTACACGCCCGATCTCTGGCAGCGCAGGAGCAGATATTATCTCTTTCAGAATGAAGATAAACTGCTCGTCGAATGAAAAAGGGAAGTTTCCGCTTTCTGTAGTGATTATTTTAATTTATCAACATCTTGTGGAACTTTAAAATATCAGTCTAGAAATTTTCCAAGAAAATAAATAATTCAAAAACTTGTTTATTTATTAAAAATATACAACAAATAAAAAATTAAACATCAATTTATTATTATTAGTAAGATTATACTGTATTATCTTTCGGCAATGCACTGTCACTTTTTCCCCTTACATAAAGTCTTAAATTTGAAGTTTTCGTCCCTAGCATCCTCTCTAAAAGCGAATGTTTCGATTTTCTTCTTGAAGCTAATACGGCTCTGCATAATTCCTATAAAAACAAACACTGTTTTTTCAAAAATAAAATATTTCGGTCCGATAATGTTTCAAATAGAGCCCTCTCCGCTAAATACCCCAAATTATTTACATATTGATCTTACTTGAAAAACCACAGCGACGGGGGCGACCTGTTCCGCAGCAGCCACTTCTGAAAATCCGCATTCCAGACTTCTGGCCAAGATGGCGCCTTCTTCTACGCTCACTTCTCTCAAGTGGACCTTTAATGGAAAATTAGAATTGAATTTTTATATGAATTTTGACAATAAAAATATAAAAACATGGACATTTTATTTCTGGGCTACATCAGTTGAAATTTCAAACTCAGATTTCTGACTATTCTGCAGTTTGATAGTCTGCCACATAGACTAAAAGTTACCCGACGAAATTGAATTGGACCTCTTCCAGTTGACAATGAGCGGTATTAGAACTTCATTCAAAACTGGAAAAATAAAAAATATTGCGCTCAAAATTGAAAAATTATACTTTAAAGTGAGTCTGTTTGGCCCAAATTCCCATCCTCCATATGTTTTTTATTAACTATGTTTTCCTTACCATATCATTTTTGTTTCCTACGATATAAACTGGAATGTCGTTATCAGCTATCAGAGCTCCAACTTTTTTCAAATACGTAAGAGATTTTCTGTCATTGATGGAGTAGACTAATAAGAGACCATCCGCCCAACTGATTGTTTCGTTTGGAGGCAAATCACTGTCGTTCTGCAATGAAAAAAAAGATTTTGAACAAACATTTACACGCTGAATAAATACTAACTTCGTTTTAAACGGTTGTAGACGCATAAATCATTACTGACCCACACAATGAAACGATAACAAGAAATACGGATTATTTTTTGGCAAAACACCCACCGACATTACAATAATAATAATAATTTTGAAGATATATTTGACAGATATATTGCATTTTCTCAATTACAGCCTTGGCAGGTTTGCATTTAAGTCTAACTTACGATCGGGATATTTTTGAGACACTTGAGTGTTTTCACTCATTAAGCTCTTGAAATTTTAAATGAAGCTCAGTTGTTGATGGATTTATTTGAGTACCTTATCAACGTAAATGAAAATATTAAGGAAAATACATTTTAAAAAAAGTATGGTATATTTCAACATTATAATTATATAGGTACTCACTTTAGGGCACGTATCCAAAATTTCGTATAAAATTGGATCGTTGTCCACTAGTACTTCATGTTTGTATCGGGTCTCTAAAACAAAAATAAAAAAAATACTTTGAGGCTGCAAGATGTTTGTGAAAAATTATATTGTGTTGCATCTGTGCATTTTATAGTTTTTATAATTGCCACTTTTCTTTTGAACTGGATTATATAATTAAGATGTAAAATAGAGCTTGTGCGTGAAATCGGCTGTTTATTTACATTCAAATGTTAATGGCTTTCAAAAGAGAATGGACCACACGCACAAGCGTAATCAATTATTGAAACATGTTTGTACTCACCTGATTTGTGATCGTATTCTCCAATATATCTCCGGGTTAAGAATCTAACAGAAAGTGCTGAAAATAAAAAGTAAAAGATGAGTACAACCAGTTTCAAAATTGAAAGGATTGAGACCAATTTCAGCTCTCACAAAAGTAAAATTTACAATATAAAGCAATTTTTTCTGCAATTTGTAAATTAATAAAAATGCAAACTCAAATTTTTAATTCTTTGTTACAATACAGAAAAACTCTTCATTCAACAATAACTCCTTAAAATCTATGACAAAATTTTGTTGCATTCAATTCCGGACACCCTGTATTACAAGTTGTAGCTATGAAATAGTATATTACATACCGAGGTGGAAAGTGTTTCATTACTGTCGAGAGATCAGTTAGTTAACTGAGACGCGAAGCGTCGAAGTTAACTATAATCTCGAGATTGGAATGAAACTTCCTACCGAGGTTTGTATACTATTTTATTTACAACAATTACAAACCTCATAATTTCGACTAAATACTAGAAATTTTTTTAAAAATTTGTTGACAAGTTCTGACTCATCTAAAAAAACGTTTGACATGCAGGACTCGTCTTAAACATTTTAGGAAATGAGAACTTACTTTCCACCCGGGTGGAAAGTGAGCACTTTCCACCCGGGACCACTTTCCACCCGGGTGGAAAGTAAAATTCAAAAAAGTGTCACTTTCAAACTTTTGAAAAGTCAGAAATGTCAACATTACGTATGTGGTTGTAAATAAAAGTATGGGCACTTTCCAAAATTCACCGGTTTCTGAACCGGTGCGATACCGGTTTAATAGTTTACTCACCAAACCGTTCCAAAATGTACCGACTTTTTACCGGTTGAACCCGATCGTTCGTTCAAAGATTGAGCGGAATGATCAGCTGTTTAAAACCGGTGAGGCACCGAATCCACCGGGAATTTTTGTCGGTTTTTTCGGTTGAAGGTTTATTGACACTTTTTTTTTTAGGTACATTAATTTAATTGCTTTGAATGGGCACTATTGGCAGTCTATTGTTAAATTGCTGCTTGCAGATGGCAGAATAAAAAAATGTTTGTGCGTGGGCGTCATTATGAAATCGACAAACCAAATACTCAGCTCACATAATCTACAAAAATCGTACTGAAAACTACCGTTTGTTGACTGTAAAAATAATAAAAATACATACCAACCTCACTGCATCCCACAAAAAAATCCATTCCAAAAAATAATAAGCAACACCACCAAATTTTGACACCAAAGCGTTCCAAAATGCACCAGAGAGATCTCGTAACCGGACTTGCATCTGACTTTTACCGGAATTTTTGGACAACTACCGGTTTATTTAACCGGTCAATTTATCGGTGAAATTTGGAAAGTGCCCAATTACTATTTGATTAGACCCTTGAGCATTTCTAAGTAGGTATTGGTTTAGGATTTATGAACTAGGTACTTCTTCAATCAATCGTCGAATATTTTAAACCTTTTTTCCATACTAAGGTAGGCATTTTCTTAACATTTAAATTTATTTTGCATTATAAATAGATTTGCCTTATTTATATTAGTAGATAGATTGCTAATTGATATCAATAGAAAAAAAAATTACGCATGTTATTTACAAGTTTATGAGATAACTGCTGTTTGGATATCGAGAAAAATTAGTTTCAAAAATTTAGAAACAGATTGATCCTAGCTGAAAGTAGAAACATAATAAACTTGAGAAAATTATTTGACACTAATTAATTGACTTCTTATCAAAGCATAGAAGTATATGTATAATAATAATTCAGGTTTCAGTTTTGTTTACAAATTGATGTAAGAATACCTACTTAAGCTATTTTTATTGATTTAATTAATTAAATTTCAGATTTATTTTATTGTTTTATGGTTAGGTATATGCTTTTTTGAAAATCTTAAAAGATTACTTTTCCAAATTTCCTTAAGTATTGTAATGTGTCGTTAATGGTGCATGAACAAAAGTTATTGAATTTCATTATTCTACAATTATATTTACTTTTATGAAACTTCTGCTTTCAAAAAGTTTCATTTTAATTAAACCCGAAATTACATAGTTGTTTCTATGACAAAGCTGACTTAAAGACTAAAATTTTATACTGCTGCAAGCCTGTATTTATATAATAATAGATGCTGAATAAGCGAAAGCTTGCTAAAATTCCTTATTTTAATAATACTTCACCAGAAGTGGCCATATAATTCCTCCCTCAATAAGTTTGAGAAAATTGGGGATGATTTTCTAAAGGTTTCAATTCCATGCCCACTTTCACATCAGTTTGATTTTACTTTAAATAATTATAATGACGACATACAAAGAATATTAACATTAACTTTGATTACAATGATTAATATAATAATTACAATTGTTGATAAACTTGAACTACCAATATTGAATTCATTAAGAGGGTGGATATAGTTAGTTTTCCAGCATTTTCTAAATTCTCTCGGATAGTTTCCAGATTTGCTTTTGTTAACTCTAAAGGTTCATTATTTTGAATTAACTGTTCGTCAATATTGATTGATGGTAGTTTTAATCTCAAATTAATTATGTGTGATTTTTGGTATTCATAATTATTATTTCCTTGAACTTTGTCTTTACAAATTGAGGGTAAAATCAATGAAATGTTACTTATTACTTCAACATCACTATGTTGGCTCGGACATTGGAAGTGAATGCTCTCTTTCGATGTTGGGATAATTATAAGGAAATAGATGACAGAAGTTTCCTTATATTTGACGGGAGTCATTGGGCAATGATGGGTTAGATTCATCGTTTGATAAACGCAGGGCTTATTTTGATTGAGTAACTTAATATGGCATAGTGAAATGCCTTCGATTTTAAGACATTGTTCTTCTATATTACTTATAAAAGATGTCATAAGATCGTATCAAATAAGGGTTTCTTAGTATCGCTATCTAGTTGTGTAGTGGAATTGGATATATGCATGCGATAAAGAATGTAAGGTGTAAGGTACTTATCTGATATCAAAGGAATTGCAACGTAGAAGATTAGATCATTCCTAATGGTCACATCTGCGTGTGCAACTTCGTAGTATTTAATTTTGAGTTAATTTTTTCATTAATTTCTTTGAATGTTTGAGCTAGCTCATAAACGCAATCAGTTTGTAGCTGATTTAAGTTCTTTTTAAAGTTTAATTGATAATTGACGTTTCCTTTTAATAGGTACCTGAAAAGGGGTGTAGTCATGTGCTGAATGAATACCTACTGTTGTTATAATTTAAAATTGCTATATCAATTAATTCTTGAATTTTTTTGGTACGATGGCCAATTCGTAAAGCTATAATGTTTTCTTTTATCGTCGAATGGAATCTTTCGATCGGCAAGTTTGAATTTGGATTGTACGGTGTAGTAAAATGCAATTCAATCTTATAGGTTTTACAGAGGTCTTGTATTAGATTACTCTTGAAAGATTGTGGATTATCAGTGGTTATTTTACTTGGTGTACTATGATGTGCAAAGAATTTTATTAAATATTGACAAATCTCTATCGATGTTTTATTCACCGGGTATGCTGGGGCGAATTTAGAAAAATTGCCTATTATCGTTAAATATTTCTGACCTGACAATGAGTATATATCCATATAAATATGCTCAAGGGGTTCAAATCCGTTGGTGTTGGTTTTTAAATGACTTTGTAAGGATGTGTCTCGTATTTTGATTTCTGACATATTTCACATGTATTTACAAAATTAATCACGTCTCTTTCTAGACTCGGCCAATAATATCTTCGCTCGATATTCTTGATATTTTCGGTCATTCCTCTATGTGATGTTTTTGTTGTATGATATCTATCTATTATCTCTTTTTGATCATCTTGGTGTGTTACATCTTCTAGTAAAGTGTTTGAGATGACTAGTTTGTATGAATTGTTTTTGAATGTTTCCTCGAAAATTTCTATTATCACAGGTTTTAATTCTCTGTTTGGAAAATACAGACAGTAGGTATCTGGTGGTAAATAATCTCTTAAAAGTATTTGTATTTCTCCTGTTATTGGGTTTTATTAATAAAAATTAGGATTCTCTTCTTGGTTTCGAATAATTTTGTTATATTTACATAAGGTTTTTCTTTGACTGTCCATTCAAATATAACTTGATTTTTAAATGTATTCACTGCCTTATTAACGTAGGTTGCTCCTAAAATAGGGCTTTCTTCCCGTTTTTTCCCGTTTCTGAGGTGTGTGCTGTATACGTCTCGGAATTGTGTATTGTTTCTAGTATATTTATTGTTTTTTTATTTGGTGTTTTTCCATTAGGCATTATTTTTTTAGATGTTATTGATTCAAGTATCAGGCGTTCTTTGTTTACTTGTTGATGGTTGAGGTTTTCTTTGTTTACTCGTTGATGGTTGAGGTGACTTCTTTTTTTCAATTGGTGGTTGTTTTTGGCCAATTGGTATTTTAATTGGTTTGAGTTTAATGGGTAGATACATTAGTTATTATTTTTATTTTGGGACTTTCCTTTTTTTTTCTGACTTTTTATTTTCACACAGTTTTCTTGTTCTTTCAAATAGATTTTCTTGTGATTCAAAGAAATGTTAGATTTTCTCATGCCATAAATATTGGTCTTCTGAGTTCTCATCTTTTTCACATTGTGCGAACATGTGTGTTGGTGGTGATTTTTTTATTTCTGTAAGGTATATTTCTTTAGGAGGGCGTGATAATGCGTCTGCATTTACATTCTGGGTTCCTTGCTTATACTAAATAGTATATTCAAATTCTTGAAGTTTTAATCTCCATCTTACAAATTTCGAACCAGGGTCTTTGATAGAAAAGCGCCATTGTAATGGTTTATGGTCAGTCACAATTGTAAATTTTCGGCCACATAAATATGGACGGAAATATTTCGTAGCCCCTAGCCCATATTGCTAATAATTCCTTCTCGATTGTTGAGTAATTACACTCGGCTGAGTTTAGAGTTCTACTACTATAAGCAATAGGTAAATCCGTAACAATTAGTCCTTGCGAAAGTACTGCACCAACTGCGTACTCTGAAGCACCAATTGCGTACTCTGAAGCATCAGTTTTTCAAAATCGGGAAATTGAA